ACCAAATTCTTTCCTTCAGTCTGGGATGCTCCTCAGTTCTATCCACATACTAAGTCCTTGGTGTTTAAGATTCAGTGTAAGGCCCTCCCTGGTGGCACAAAGGGTTAAAGCACAGCACTGTTCAGCTTGTGCAGCCACTGCAACATGAGTTTGATCCCAGACCAGGGAGGTGACCACATGGCGTAGCAGACCTTTTCTGACCCGCCTGCTACTCCCCTCAGCAGTGTACTTTGTCTATCTGCCTGTTCTATTCCCCACTCTGCCTCGGGTAAATCCTCTCACTGAACCTGTGATGAGGAGGAAAAAAAAAGAAAGATTCAGCTTAAATTCTACCTCTTTGGAGACTTATCTCAGCACCCATTTCAATGTGCCCTTTCTGCCTTCCCAGTTACTCTTTGTCATTCTTCTTCTTTCCTTTTTTTTTCTTTTAAGATTTAGTTATTTATGCATACAAGAACTGGGGTATAGGCCAGAGGTGAGAGTGAGAGGATTCATCAGAGACAGAGTGGGGAGAACACCAGGCAGATAGACTGAAATACACTGCTGAGGGGAGCAGCAGGCGGGTCAGGAGAGGTCTGCCTGCCATGTAAGTCACCTCCCTGTCAGGGTATCCAGCTTGGTGATGCAGTGACCTAGGATAGTTTCATAGTGTTGCCTTTTAACTCTTTGTGCCACCAGAGAGGGCCCTTTGGAGCTTTCTGAATGGAAGTCAACAACTACTTGTCTAGCGAGAGGGTCTATACTTTTCATTAAACCTTAAATATAGGACCCAAGAGGGTCAAATAACCATTGTACCAATTTCTTCTCCATCATCTCTTGTTTTAATTCTAAAACACTATTACCTGGAAAACATGTAACATATTTGTTCAATTTTTCATATTATAAAATAGTGAGCTGTCTGTGACTTTTACTTTACCACAAGGACTAACAAAGAAATCAATAGCATTAAGATGTGGTATGCGTCATTCCATGAAGGTACTTAAAAATATATTTAGCGCTTTTCTAAAATAGATGCCTGAGCTCTTGGGGCTGCCTGATCTATTAGAGCAAGACTATGGTAAAAGGAATGTCCAGAATGTATTTGACTGCTTCCATTTACTTCATTTTGTATAACCTCCTCTTAAGAAAGGAACAAAAGACATCTTGGTACTTGTGTTCAGCAATACCCATAAATGATGTATTATGTGCCTGATGGTAAAGGTCATGCATGAGCTTATTCCCCTGGGCTCCCAACGAAATCTCTTCACCTTATTTCATCTGTAGAAAGAGACATAGTAATGATATCTACCTATAACTAGTCATTACTATTGATAGTTACATCCCAATATCCATTTCCCCTTGTTCCTTGGTAAAGGAACCACAATTTCTTAGCTTAGCACACCACTAGTCAGAGAACAAACCACATTTCAGGCAGCCCCAAGAGTTCATTCTCATCATTGAGATAAGGTGGAAGCTCTGTCTGGACTTCCTGGAAGTTTCTTTTAAAGAGAAAGGTGTGAACTTTTATATTTTTAAAATTTATTTGTGCATACAGAACTGGGGACAGACCAGAGGTACAGGGGCAGTAAGAGAATTCACCAGAGACAGAATGAGGGGCAGAACAGGCAGACTGATGAAACACATTGCTGAGGGGAGCAGTGTGCAAGACCGGAGAGGCCTGCTACACCATGTGGGTCACCTCCTGGGCTGGAGATTAAACTCATGCTGACATGACTACAGGTAGCTTTGCAATGCTGTGCTTTAATCCGTTGTGCCACCAGGGAAGGCCCAGGAATGAACTTTGACTTCCAGTTCCAGATGTATGAAGGTTGAAAGTTGCCACTTTGACCAAGTAAAAAGCTGAATAGACAACTCTTCTTGGATCCATAAAAGGTGAACAAATATAGCAAACAGCAGTCTCCAAAACTGGAGAACAGGTGAATATAGGGAGTTGCAACTTTCCAGAGTGGAAATCTATGAGTAAAAAATGTCATGGGAACCAGTTTCAGATCAGGAAAATCTCAACTGTAATAAATACATCACTGGAATCTCTATGCAGGCAAATCTGAGCATAAAAAAACTGCAGGTGACCCAGTCATTGGGAAATCTCCAGGCTTCTATGTTATCTACGGAAGCTCTGACCAGGTTATCACAGTAAATATAGAAGGAAAAAATGTCTCCTTCTGTAGGGGTAGTACAGAAAGAAAAGAATCATTTTGAAACAAACCAGAGTACTCTGTTCCCCTTAACCAGGCCAGCCCTCAGGGGAAACTCGTTAACCAGAGCCTAACCTGCTGGGGTACTATCAGAACCTGACTTATCTGGAGAAGGAAAAATACTTGATCCTAAATACTTGATAAAACAAAAACAGAGAAACCCTTGTACAGTTCACAGTCTAGAGGTAAAGGCTCAGGAAAGGACAGATCAATTCATTGGACAATGGCACACTTCGCTCCCTTGACAGCTTACAATCATATTATAAAGACCTATTTACCACAGTTTCTTTTACAAAGTGCTACACAGTGCATCACATAGCACTGTCAAGGAAAATATTTATGAGCTATAACAAAAGGCAAAAAGTCCTCAGAAATAAAGTTTGCCTTAGATGGGCTTATCGGTAGATTGGACACGACTAAGGAAAGAATCTGAGCTAAAGGATGTTAATTTTCAAAACTACAAGGCAGAAAGAGCAAAGTTTCAAAAAAAGCTCAGAAAATTTAAGGAACATGTGACAACTACAGAAGGTATAATACACATAATAGGAATACCAGGGAGAAAAAAGGAAAGAAAAGAACAGTATTTAAAATATTGGTGACTGAGAAACTCTGAAAATCATAGATCTAGAAAGCTCAGATAACATCGAGCAGATTAAATAACCAAAAAAAAAAAAAAAGACAAATTACAGAAAATTAAGAAAAAAAATAACTACCTACAGAGGAACAAAGATAAAAATTTCATCTGATTCCTCCTCAAAAATCATGAAAACAAGAGGAGAGTGGAGGGAAATATTTCAAGTGCTGAGAAAAAAACTAACCAATCTTGAATTCTGTGCTTTCCAAAATTATCTTTCAAAGGTGAAAGGGAAATAAAGACTTCAAGAAAAAAAAATTGGAAGAATTTATTACCAGTACACCTGCTTTGCAAGAATGTTTAAATAAATTCTTTAGAAAAATGGAAAACCATACACGTCAGTACATAGGGTTCCTGCACCCAAGTCTAACATAGGTGGAGACATCCCCACACCTGCTGGTATTAGAGAATTTGACTCAGTTCTGACACTGTCCTCTTGTGGATGGCATCAGATTCCATAGCTTAGGGGCTCATACTCCCAAGACCAACCTCCATTTCAGATGCCAACTGCAAGTCCCAGGACAAAAATGGCAGCATGTCTCAGAGTCCCTTATATTACCACTCAGGAAATCCCATGGCTAGAGGAAATTCTGAGACAAAAAATGTTCACATTGCTCTGATGGTTCAGAAAATTCCAAGAGTTTTGGAAACTGTGAGTAGGGTTCTGGAATGCAAAATCTAGTCCTGAAAGAAACTGGAAAAATGTGGGCAACAGGACGGAAAAGGTAGGCTGAGGACAGAGGCAGTAAGGCCAGACAGACTTACTGACCATACTAAGGAAGTCATATAAAGAAGGAAAGTGACAGGATCAGAGTCTAATGTTTGGACATAGCTGGTAGTAGGGCTTAAGATGAAAAGCAGGACAGGGGCTGGAGCAGGTCCACTTGTGTTCCTTAAATGAGCATGATTCAATTTTGGACTCTAAAGGAAGTCTGAGGAATTAGATTTTGGGGGGTGGGCAGTGAGCCTCAGGCAGACAGAAACAAGGACTTCCATCTGCAGTGGGATGCAGGTAGTTTTTAAAGGGCTGTGTCCAACCAGATGAATTAGTATCACCTGGAAATTGTTAAATTGCAAAATCTCAGGTCTTAACCCAGAAATCCTGGGCCTGAAAGTCTGAGAGCTGGGCACAGAAATCTGACTTGAGAGTAAGTTTTCAGTTGATAACCACTGTGGTGGCCTGCTAAAAATGCTGTAGCAGGTACAAAGGCTTATAGTAGCCTTCTTTGCTGTTTTTCTTAACAACAAGATGAAAACAAACAGACAGGGTAAGAGTAAAGAAATGAATTTTCATGGTGAGTGGGCAAAACAAAAGCACATAAAGCCGAATTTTTATAGGGTGCCTAAGGAAAACAAAGACCCTACCGATCATATTGTCCAAAGCCTCACATTTGGGGTATTTAAATAGTTTTGGTAGAAGCTGAATATTCTCAGGAGACTAAATTAAGTAAAACTTGAAATAAATTATCCAGTTGTAAATTCTTTGTTCCTTTTATTCACCACAAAAATATCCGCAGGATAAACATTGGGATTCCTCCTGGCCCTCCGAAAACTGTGTTTATGATGCAACCGTCCATTAAAAAGCACACAATCCCAAATTAAAACCCTCCCAAACGGAGCAGCGAGCTGGCGCCATCATCCCTAAACGACTCGGCCGTTTCCCAGCCACACCCCTGCGGACTGCAAGGCCTCCTTTGCCCTGGCTGTTTCCAAAGATAAATAAATCACTCCTTGTTTTTTCCAGACCTGAAATTAGTGGTGACTCATAGAACACTCTGAGCAGTCACTACCGCCTTGGAAAGGAGGGAAACTGTTCAGATTTTTCCTTTCACGAGATGGCCCAACCGGTTTGGCTGGGCCAATCAGGGGAGGATGGCGGGAATCGTACCAAAGTAGGTAAAAAATGCAGGCTATGTCCCCTGCACTGCGGCCTCCCGCGGGTCCACCCGCCCAGCCGCTCTTTTGTGGCTCCACCCACCTCTCCTCTCCCTACCCCTCCCTGGTCCCGCCCCCAGCGGCGGCGCACACCTGGCCAGGTGGCTACTTCCAAGTAAGGACAACGGAGGCGCAGTGGGCGGGGCTAAATGTGGCACCGCCCCACAAGGGGGGGGTCGAAGGGCCGCGGGTCAGGCTGAATCTTTGGCCCGCCTCTTGCTGCAGGTGCCGGCTCAGGCTCCGCCTCCTCGCCCCTCGCAGCTAAGGAAAGCCCGACCCTGAGCCACGGGGAAACGGCTGGTGAGGAGGACACCCTGTGCCAGTCCCCGGAGGCGAAGAAGACCCTCACCCACCCTTGCTTCCCCCGAGTCCGCAGCGCTGCCCGGGCGGGGCGTTGCCTGGCTGGCTGGTTGCGGAGCAACGGCGGGCAGCGCGTGACGTGCGCAATCGCGTTTGGGCCCGAGGCGCGCGCCCGCGTGCCCGTCTTGGTAGGCTCGCGCCCTGCGTCGCCTCGCCAGGTCGCTTGGTCCCGGTGCAGTGAGGACGCTCCGCAGACTCGGCGCCGATCGGCTCCCTCTCCCGCGTCCCTGCGACCGCTGCGGCGAAGATGGTGAGTGGGAGGAGGCTTGAGGCGGGGGCCGACGCTTCGGAGCGCTGAGGGCCGCGGAGGTCGTGGCTGAGGGTGCCAGCGCTGCGCCTCGGCCGGGTGGCCGACCCGTACCCTGCCGCAGTCTCCGGACTCGGGAGACTCTGCGGGCTCCAGCCGTCCGCAGATCCCCGCGCGAACTGGGGCGGCTCCCGGGCCGTTGCGTCGCCGGCAGCTTTGTGAGGCCGCCGACCCGGAGCGCGGTCGCCTCTGTGGCTTCTCGCGTCCGGGCCTGGTATGGCCACCCGGGCTCGAGCGCCCCCGCCCCTCGATGCAGTGGACCCCAGGCACACCTATCCGGCGTGGGGGTGTCGGGGCGTCGGAATCCCTAGCGGGCTTGTGTGCGTAGGCTTAGTCGGGGCCGGGCACTGAGGTGGTCAGTGACTCGTGCGAGTTTCGGCGGGTGAAGTCTATACACCTTTATGCGGGAAGTGGGGCCTTTATTGAACGGCCCTAGAGGGCGGAATGATCTCTACGAGCATGACCCTGGCATGATTAAGAACAGGATGGCCCTGCAGCCGCTTTGTCATATCTGGCAATCAACTTCCAGCAGCTGTCTGGTCGAGCTTGTGAAGCTTGGCACTGTGCCTGTTAACCCTTGCCTACCCGATCACCCCATGTATGGTTAGATATTTACTTGTACATAAACTCTTACGGAGAACTTAAGCGCTCAAGATGTGGGCATAATGCTGGGATGCTAATACAAACAAACGAAGAAGTGTTTTAAAGTCTGTTAAATTTTCCACGTCAGTAAAAACTAAACAGATACTCAGTATATACTGAGTATCTATCAGGCGATAGACACTTTGCTTAATTTACATTTACCCCCTCTACACTATCTTTGTAGTTTGCTAAGAACCAGTATTCTTAACCCGACGGCCAAGTAGAACATTTTGTCGTTTTCTTTAATCTGCACACGCTATTACCATTTTTGGTCAATGATTTGCAGGCAAAGACTTAGCAGGCTTTGCTGGAAATATTACATTGTTATTGCATCGGTCTGCCTAGAAGCAGTTGGTACCACCTTATCTACATACAAAATGCTTTCACTGCATAACAGTTATGGTTTTCTTATGGTATTGCAACTTTTCATGACTATCAGTCAGGCTCATTAGTTGAAGGAAAGAGGTTAACTTAGTAATTTCTTGATGACTGAGGATATGTAGTAGGAATTTAATGTTTGGTTTTTGGTTTAATTTTGCAACCTACAAAAAGGATCAGCATTTTCAGAGTTTTTATAATCTTTGATTATAAATGAATACAATACCTTGTGCTTAGAGATATTTAAACTAAGGGTTTTGAGTTCACAATACATTTAAGTGCCCTGAAATGGGCTGGAGCATGTTCTAAGGTTTTCTGATTTGACCTTGTATTTTTTTTTTTTTTGAGTTGTCATAATACCAACTTTACTTTCCAGGGTGAAAATAGGGCCAAGCATTTTAATTTTAGTTAAATGTTTAAGTTAAATGCTTATTTAGATTTTAAATTCTATACATCCAGATAAATGAAGAGTCTTATTTACTGGTTCTTGGGAGAAGAGAAGTAAAAATCAAGAAGGGCAGTTTCCAAATACATTTCAAACTCACAGGTTTTAGAGAGATCAAAATGACCTTACAAGCTACTCTTGTTTGAATGATTACAAAGAGAGTTCAGAATATAGACTGACCAACCATTTTTTAAAGATTACTCTTGTGTGTAACTGAGTACAGAGTATGGCCATTCAGTTTAGCTAGAGAATATTGTGAAGGTGGGGAATTCCTTTATTATCCTAGATTCTAGCACTTTACCTCTGTATTTGAAACTATTTCTGTTGGTTAGATGCTTGGTTCCAAGTTTCTAAGTTTTTGTTTAAGATTTTTTTTTTAACAGATTAAATTTTAACAGTGGTTGGGTTTGTTCTACATTAGCAAAATCATTTCCTGGTTCTCCACCAGTGTTCAGGCACCTGGAACTAATACAACTTGAAACTAATTCAGAAGATCACCCTGGGTTCTTTTAAGATGAGATTTCATGTTTTTCAAAGTCTTTTTCCAGTGCCCCTATCGTTCTTCCACAAACACCTTCCACAGGAGACCCATCTATATATGCTAAGTAAAACATTGGAGTGCAGGTACTGAATGTGCTAACTTGCTCATACAAAGATTCTATCCCAGCCCACCATCAAATTTCTATTGCTCAGTAATTATTTATGCTAGTTACGAATGAAGACATCACATAGACTTGCCTGTCTTGTCTTATAACCAACACTATCTACATTTGCAGCACAGTTGTATGGCTTTGGGAGAGTAGTAAACTCCTGAATTAGTATGGATCTATATGATAATCTAACCCTTAATCTTACTTTGGTCAGAACTGTACTCTAATGAATTATAAACATACTTTAGCACTTGATTAGCAAAGATACTTAAAAGCAATCTAGTGGAATAGGTGGCATATGTATTCATGTGCCTATTTAACAAATGAAAACAGACTCATAAAGGATTGATTTGTGACATTTTCTGACTCTACATCGAGTTTTAAATAATGTAAATATAACTTCAGAAGCATTGTAAGCAGGGAAATACAGAGAATAATGTAAAAGTACAAAGGTCCCTTTGTACAAAAAGAAAGGGTAAACTTTTTGTCATATTTCAGGTTTTTGTGTTATCACAGGTAGATGGCATTTTTCTTCTTCATCCCATTCTCTTCCCTCCTCAGGGATTAGCATTCCATGTCAAAGATGTGATATATTGGCCAATTAAGGAGATGCAGTTGCAATTGTGAGAACATTAATTAATAAGGAATAGCTGGGGGGGGGGCGGGAAGGCCAGAGATCTGGGCATATAATACATGGGAGCCTTGAGGAAGCATGGAGTAGGTCTTATCTGGAAATAAGCAAAGACAGTATTCTTTTATTACTTGTTTCCTAGAGCAAATTACAGGGTGAATTTCTTTCTGTTTTAAAGATTTATTTCTTTATGCATACAAGAAGTGGGGTGTGGACCAGAGGTGTGGGGGATGAGAGGACTCATCAGAGACAATGGGGAGCAGAACATGCCGATTGACTGAAATATACTGCTGAGGGGAGCGGCAGGTAAGACAGGAGAAAGGTCTGCTGTGCCATGTGAGTTAGTTCCCTGGCCAGGCATTGAACTAACGCTGCAGTGGATGGTGCCAGCTTGCTAGTGCCAACTTTAACCCCTGCACCACCAGGGAGGCCCCTAAGATGGATTTCTTAACCATTACCACTTTCCAGGAGAACAGAACTCAGATATAGTTCAAGATAGTCATAGTCATTTGATATTGATTAGTTTGTTCTCATTGGCATTACCATACGTCTAACTCCATGTTTGCATATGTGGTATATATTGCCTTGTTTTTAAATACATTTTATATAATTGCTATTCATGTATTTTTCTACAACTCTTAAAATATTAGACATGGTGAGCTTTTTGTGTTCAGGGGGATGATTTTTGGTTTTAGTTGTTTCTCTGGTTCTTTATTCTAACTGATGAGTAATTTCCATTTATGACTATATAAGTTTATCCATTTCTCCCATTTTGATGAACATATTTTTCCCTTTATTACTTTTTTCTATTTAAACTATTTTAAATAGAAACATGAATGGCCAACATGAATGGCTAGAGAAATCATATTACTACATATGATTTCTCTAGCCCCACTAAATGGCCCAAGGAATATACTTAGAAGCGGAAGCCTCAGGTTAGAGGGACTATAGATGTTTTCTTTACCATTGCTGGTTGTAGTTTGTGTCTCATCAGCTGTATTTATGACCAGTTTCCCATTTCTTCTTACCACTTAATATTATGAGACTTAAAACCTTTTCGTATCTTGAGTGTGAAATAGTTTTTCATTGTCTTAATTTGCATTTCTCTGATTTATAGTGAATTAAGTTTTCATGTGTTTACTGCAGTTAATGCTTTTACATCCATGTATACCTGGTATACCTGGTATTGTGCAAATACTCAGCATGTCTCCATTTATGCTTCTTTTGTGGAGTCATGAAGTAAATCCATGTTAAAAGAAAATCAACAGGAAAATGATTGTCAGTGCCAGAACTTTGTACTGAATACTAATATCCCTCTTTTCTAGCACCTATATTTCATTCCATGCCTCTCGAGCTGTTAGGTGGCAGAAGTTCAATCCCTTCTTAATATTAGCCACCTGCCGTTGTCATGCCTTGGTAGTGGTAAAATGTAGAGAGTGATCCAGGATAGAGTTGCATCTTTGCCAAGGCCCATGGAGATTAACATCTGCTTTATACTTATCCCTTTCTTTTTCCTAAGCAATTCATCTGGTCAAATGTTAAAAACAAGCTGGGGATATATGACTGACTACTTACTACACTTAAGTTGCTGTAGTGAGAAGCTAAAACATCTCTAAAAATGAAGTCTATTTTATTAAAAAAAAAGAAAAGAAAAAGAAGAAAAAAAAGAAGCAAAGTCAAAGAAATAAGTATGGCAGTTTGTCTTGAATATAGCTGGTTTAAATCAAAATGGTGTCTTTTTATGTATCTTGAGTTACTTCCCTTACAGTATAATATTCCTCTCTAGATTATCTATGAAAGCCTTAATTCAAAAGATTTATATTAATATTTCAGAAATATTTTAATCATAGATTTTCTTTCTTTCTTTTTAAGATTTATTTATATATGCATACAAGAACTGGGGTATAGGCCAGAAGGGTGGAGGATGAGAGGATTCACCAGAGACAGAGTGGGAAGCAGAACAGCCAAATATACTGAAATATACTGCTGAGGGGAGCAGTGGGCGGGTCAGGAGAGGTCTGCTGTGCTGCGCCATGTGAGTCAGCTCTCTGGCCGGGGATTGAACTTGTGCTGTAGTGGCTGTGGACTGTTTCATTGTGCTTTTGTAGGGGTCTTTGCTGGTGTAAAGGCATCTCTTCTCCTTTCTCTGGGGCAGGGAAGCAGCATCTCCTCTTAGAGATGCAAGGCATGCTGGGCC